GGTACTACTGTTTTGCCTTAAGGTTGCCGTTTCCTGAATGAGTGTCTCCCACAGAAACACTTAACAGAAAAGGAACAGTCCCGGGGTGAGGAAGGTGAGAATACAGTGGCAATCCCACAGGTCAAAGACATGGCTCTTAGGCAAGGCTAGTGCCTGAGACCACCAGATAAGTTTGGGAAAATGACTGAGTGGCTGCTGAGCCTCTTTCCTGGGGTCTCTGTGCTGTGTGCGGGCCAAGGAGAGGCAGACACTACCCATGCAAGACCAGGGCCTGAAAGCCACGGCTGCCCCTGGGCAGTGCAGGCGCGCGCTCGGAGCCTGAAGCACAAAGTGGGCCGGGGATCCCAGCGGGCAGGCCTGGGCAACTAGCCATCCACCTGCATGAGGAAGGCAGCCCACCTGGGTCCTTTAAGCAGGGCGGGGACCAGGCAGCCTGTGGGGAAGAGAGGAAGCCAGGAACAGTAAGAGGCCTATTGCAAAGTCCCGGCATGAGGCAACAGTGGCCTGGCGGGTGGAACACCGAAAGGGCTTGGTTAACAGGATGTGGGATTTAGAGACAAGAACTCAGGGCCAACTTCCAGGTTGGGACACTCCTGTGACCTGGCCTCCCTGCGACAAACGTGATTGGCAACCATGTCAAAATTCTGGATACTGGATAATCGTCAAATAATACCCTCAGCAGAAGGCCCCCAAGCTGACCAGGTGTCCCAACAGTGTCCCACCGCACCAAATCCACCATCCTCTCCTCCTGAGCCCATGGCATTTTTCTTAAAATATTCTATCATTAACCTTAAATATCTGCTTAGGCACATCAAGCCCAGGGTTTCATAAACAATGCTGCTTGGACTGAGGCTGGTCAGTTTGCTTCCTAATCCATGTTAGGATATAATTACTGCAGAAACACGAATGCCAGCCGGCCCCACCTGTGAGCGGCACGCCTGATTAACCTGCGCCTGTCCCCGCCCCAAGTGCGACCCTGTGACCATCACAACACGGTGACTGAACACCACAGCGCCCCACTCCGTGCCCAGCACTGCACATACGCTCTATGCCTCCACCCTCATGGCCACCCTGCAGGGTCCCACCGACCTCCCTTTCCGGGATGCAACAACTGAGGGCTTAAGCAACGTGCTGAGGTCACACAGCAATTAAATGGCAAAGTCCAAGCTCAGACTCACGCCTGGCGCTAAGCCTGTACTCGCTCTCCTGCCACTTGCCTTCCTTGAGTTCACGCAACGGCTTCTTTCTCCCTTTCCACAAAACTGACTGCGCCTCCGCCCCCCAAAAAGCCAAGATGAAAGTATACAATTTTTTCCCCCAGTATGTGTTATAAAACTTGATCAATCTTTTGTTAATAGATAAGGTCAGCAGTCTGGAAGAATCAGGAGGGTAAATGCCTGTAGAGAGTAACTTTCAAACCCATCAAAACTTGACAGGCTCACATCAGAGTCAGATGTTTTTAGGTTTGGCCTAAATTCTTCAAAAAAACCTTTTTTTTCCCGGATTCTCCAAGTTGATGCTCACTTCGTAGGGTTCTTTTACCAACCGAAGCTACTGTGAGAGGATAACCTATATTCTCACATTATTTGACTCTTGCCTTGTTATGGTGCTATTTGAAAAGGAAACATGCTTGAGACAGTCTAAAATGCCCAGGTGTAGTCTGTTTGGATGCACGTGTACAAGACAACTCACTTTCTATTCCTAAACCTGCTTTAGCAGAAAAGTAACTTGAAACTCTGTGAAATCTACCCACACAGGTTTGAAAGAAAAAGAAATCCACCATTGGGGCACCCCAAACAAAAAGACACAGAAGTCAGTGACGAATTCTTTTTAGAAACGGTGGACCACACTCATTGATTTGCTCCCAGCTTGGGGTCCTGACAGCAATGGTCTTAGCGTTGTACAAAAGTTTTGTACAAAAGTACAAAATGAAACTGTCTGTCCCCATTAGTCTCAAAGATGACACTCAGAAACAGACTGCTCACGCGGGCAGCAGAATCACACCAGGGAACACACACCGAGGTACCGACAGTGGTGCTAGCCAGCCCTGAGCAGCAGAACGGAGGCCTTGGGCAAACTTCCTATTGACTCCAAGGGGGCATGAACAGCCCTGATTATCACCTCTCAAGTACCCCAGAGGGCAGAGGCCAGTGCGGGTCCCTCCCGCAGCCCCCTGGCCTGCACTGCCTCTGAGTTGGAGGGTAAATAAACTGCCAAGCAAATTCATTCCTGGCCAGGCCCCCACGGAGGCCACACCTCCACGATGCTATTTGCCTCCCAACCTGAAAACGTGCACAGGCCTCACAGGAAGGAAGCATGTGGTCTCGACCCCAATGAACTGCCACCATACCCGCCCCATCTTTTCCCTCTCTGCCCTTCCGAACTTTCCCAACTGCTCAAAACAAGACATTTTAAAAATAACTTGGCCTGAGCAGTTATTCTCCAGCAGACATACAAAGGCTGTGCAGAGTCAGTCAAGAAAAAAAATAAATAAAATGCGATCCCTTTACAGCAGAGCAGGAGGAGAGCCAATTAACCTGTTGATAGGGGAAAAGCACCAATCTAACCAGCCTCTCCGGCTCCTCTGAAAGCAGCCTGCCTAGGACCAGTGGGCAAGCGATGCTCCTCAAGGGCAGAGCTCCTCAAGCTGATCAGAGCCCTGACAGCTTTCAGCTGCTGAGTCTATGGGAACCAAGGTGAACACCAAACAGGTGCGAGTCATTTGCAGAGCCTGGCTTATGAAGCCGGGCACAGTGGATCACCACAACCCCACCCTTCTCACTTTTTAACAGGAAGGATTCTCTTAAACCGAGCACCACATGTGAGGAGTGGGAAGGCTAAGAAAGGCTGACAGAGATTGCCTGAGACACAGGCGGCTTTTTACACAGCACACCTGTAGGAGCTCACAGGGTGTCGACAGCCGTAAGCCTACAAGGAGAAGGTGACGACCATAAGCCCTACAAAGACAAGGTACCTTCTGAAAAATAAATCCAGGACAGAGACCCACTTGAAAGAAACAAGGGTTGTAAGTTTATGGAATCAGTAGTAGTAAACTACAACCTCTGCGATCCAGTTTGAAAAGGCAATAAATTTGCAGGTGAGTGACTTTATGGGTGACATTTCCAACACAAACTTGGATATGAGAACCAAAAACTCCTTGAGAAAATAAAGTAGTCTTAACAGCAGGCATGACTTCTGAAAATTCTTCCCCCACTCAACACTCTCTGGTCTTTGAGAAAAGCCCTTGAAACTTGTGGACATGACTACTTCCCCAGAGACACAGCTCTACCCCAGAAATCCGCTCTGCACTGGGGATCATGCTGATCAGCTATCGCTTGTGTTCAAAACACTTGAAAAAGTGCTAAGACAACCTAACTATTGGGTTTTTGTCTTGACTGGATGATACTTAAAAAGGACACTGAAAAGCAACCTCTTTTTTAATATTCAAAATCCTCCCAGGCAATGTACTCCTCTGGCTAGTTGGCTTAATGACACATGACAAAAGCTCTATGAAGTTATTGCCTTGCTGGGGTCAGAAGACACAGCCCCAGCCTGGCCGTGGATGGGCTGCCCTGTCCCCCATTAGTGGCCACTGAAATCCCAGTGGGAAGTGCTTTCTGCCGGCATCTCCACCACTTTGCCTTTTGCCATCCTGCAGGCCAATTTTTTTCAGGGCACATTCAATTGCTGGCCGCCCCTTGTTATTCACAGGGGAGTACCAGTCACGGTGAGAGTTCCCACCAATCAGGGTGCAGCACCCCACGGCAGGAACGCTGCCTTAGCGCCCCTGTTCATTTCCGCAGCCCAAAATCTCCGGCTAAAAGCAACGTAAAGTACAGCTCATTCAATACCCCCTTCATTCAGAAGCCCTCTTTTTGACTCCTGCCTGTCTGTCCCCCTCTCGAAACAGCTAAGGACCCTCTCTGAAGACTTCTTACACTTTGCCCTTTCAAGCACTTGGGCCACGAGCCTTCGAACCACCAGCTCTGATTGTGCTATGTAAGCCCAAGCAAGACCCTTTCCTGTCCAGACCCTCTACATCAAACCTCTATTACCAAGCCCTTGTTATTATCTCAAAGCTGAGTAGTCTGAAAAACTGCCGGCATCTAGACAGAAAATTAAGTTACCTCTGAAGTCAGGTTGAATTCGGAGGTAAGGAGTCGTAGGCTGGGGGGGGGTGGGGGGGGGCACGGTTCACGTAGTTTCAAACGCATACCTGGCCGGAGGCACCGCACACAGCCAGGTTACCTAACTCCCCGCAAAACGACTTAACTCGGAAACGAAGAGCGCGCCTGGTTCCGAATCCTGGGACCGTCCAGAGGCTGCCAACCTCTGCGCCCCTTGCAGGTGTTTCCAAACCAAACCCGAGGCCAGCAAGTGTTGCTACGGAGCGATCGGGGTGGGGGGGGTCGGGGGGGAGCCCCGCTTCAAAGCCCCCGGTGGGCTCTCGGGGGTGGGGGGTGCGAGGGGGGGAAGGGAGCGCGAGCGAGCAGGTGCGGGCCGAGCTCCAGAGCCCACGGAGGTCTCCGGTTTCCCAAGCGTAAGCGGGGAAACCACGCGACGCCCCATCGGGGCCGTGGGGGACACAGCTCCCCGGAGCCCGGCTTCCCCACCCAAGGCGCACGGCAGAGCCCGCAAGCGCCCGCGTCCGTCTGCGGCCGGGCCCGGAGCGCCCTCCTTTACAACTCGGGGGGCTCCGGGCGCTTTGTGCCGGCCAGGAAGGCCGCCGGGGGGCCCCACGGGCCGGACAATGCAGCGGGCGGGGAGGCGTGGGGGGGGACGGTGCGCACGCCGCCCGCCCCCCGCCCGCCGGGCCCCCGGCATGACGGTGCAGCCTCGGCCGGGCCGGGGCGGCCGGGCCGAGGCCCGCGGGCCGCCCGGGGCCTGTGTAAAGATGGCGAGCCCCTCGCGTGGCTCCCGCGGCTCTCCGCCCCCCCCCCGCCCCGGCCACAATGGAAGGCGCCCCCCGGTCCCCGCCGCGGCCGGCCCGCGGGCCCCACCTTCCATCTCCATGTCCTCGGGCTCGCTGAGCTGCTGCTCGCCCGCTTTCTGCTGCTGCTGCTGCTGCTGCTGCTGCTGCTGCTGGTGGTTCATGTCGGCCGCGGCCTGGGCCTCGCCTGCGGCCGGGGACCGGGGCTGCGGGCCCGGCGGGCGGGCGGCGGCGGCGGCGAGCCGGGGCGGCGGCGGCGGCGGCGGCGGCGGCGGGGCGGCCTCCTCCTCCTCCTCGCGCGCGTCGTCGGCGGCGGCGGCCCCGGGGCGGCCCACGGCGGGCGGCGGCGGAGGCAGGGAGACGCGCACGTACTTGCTCGCGATTCGCCCAATCTCGGCGCCGAGGCGGGCGGGCGGGCGGCGGGTCGGGCCGGGCGGCCTCGTCGCTCGCTGCTGCGGCCGCCGCCGCCTCAGCCGCCGCTCCCGCCGCCGCCGCCGCCGCCGCCGCGGGGCCCGCCTCCCGCCGCCGGGGCCGGGGCTGCGGGGCCGCGGGCCGGCCGGGGGCGGTGGGCGGCCGGGCGGGGGCCGCGGAGTCAGCCCCGCCTCGGGCCGGGCGCGGCGGGCGGGAGGCCTGGCCGGCCGCGGCGGGCCTGCGGGGCCGGGGGCCGGCGGGAGCGGCGGCGGCGGCGGCGGCGCGGGCGGGCGACGGGCCGGCCGCGCTCGGGGCGCTGCGGCCTCCGCCTCCTCGGCGTCGTCGTCGGGGCTCCGGCAGCGGACGCGGCGCCCGGCGGCTCGGCTCGGCTCGCTCTCAAAATGGCGGCGGCGTGAAATGTCACATCCGCATGGGGGGCCCGAGAGCGAGCTTGCGAGCGACGAGAGCGGGCGGGCGGGCGGTGCAGCGAGCGGGCGGGCGGGCGCCGCGCCGGAGGGCGGAGCGGGAGCGGGAGGCGGAGCGGGGAGGCGGAGCGGGGCGCGGCCAGCCCGCCGCCGCCGCCGCCTGGGTCCGCCCGCCCGCCGGCCCGCCCGCTCGCGGCCCTCAGCGCAGCGGCCCCGCGCCGCCCGCCTCGGCCTCTCCCGACCCGGGGGGCCCGCCCCGGAGCCTCGCGGCCCAGCCCCGGCGTGCGCGCCCGGGGGCCCCAGCCCTAGCGGCGAGGGTGGCCCCGGCAGGTGCCCCGTCCCCGGGCGTGTGGTCAACCCAGAAGCCCCAGGGCCGTCCGGGGAGGGGGGCGGGGGGTGCAGGGGCCGAAACCCTGCCCGGACCCAGTGACCGCGGGATGGTTGGCTGATGTCGCCCGGGGACTCGGCAGAAGACAGCCCGGATCGGAGCGAGCGGCCGGCCCAGGTCAGCCCTTGCTGGCCCTGGTGATGATTATTTTACCTCTTTGAAAACAGATGTGTAATTCATTCAACCCAGTGCCGCGCTTTGCGAGAACTTTTCTCACTGTAGCGCAAACCAGACACCAGGTTTTGGTCCCCTCAGAACCAGCCCAAGTACCTCTTGATCTGGCATTAATTGATTCCCCTTCACATCAACCCAATCTGGCTAAGATCATTTAGGGCCTGCCTCCTTCCCATTCCTTGGGAGACCGGCGACTGGGGTCTCAACTTTCTGATGAAAACCAAGGCAGTGTGGATGAAGAAGGGAGTGGAGAAGGATACATACCTCTCTGCGTCTCTACTGTATCTCTTAGTGACCATCTCAAGGGAGAATATAATTTTGCCCTCAAATGACCAGGAAGATTTTTCTATCTGCTCATCTCCTGTCTCTGCATTTCTCTCCGGTTTTCTCTACTTGATTCACTGTCCGTCTCCCTACCGGGAAAAGAAAGTTTTGTTCTCTGTGGTATCCCAAGCGCCCTGGGACAGAGCAAGTACTCAGATACATATTTGTTGAATGAATGTATGATTCAAATGAGACGTGATCCCGTCCCCCGCACCCCCCCCCCCACCGCCAAGCATTTCCCACCAGTGAATTTCTTGCTGGACCCAAGCAGTGACATTCAAGAGGGAAGGAGCCACTTCACGAGGAATCAGTCTAGCCCCAGCATCTCCCCGCAGATTAGGAAGAGGTGTTGTTATTCACACAAATGCTAATGAACGGTTCTCAGATGCAAATGAACCCTTTTCACTTGGGGGAGGGCAGACAGGACCGCTCTTGCGGAAGGGGTGGCAGGCAATGATAGTGGTGCCTATCCGGTTCCACACTGGCCAACCTTATCTTCATCACTGGGTTCAGAACCAATCCGGGAATTAAAAAAGGGTTAAGAGTAAGGAATACCTTGCATGATGGTTAAACTAAATGTGGTACACCCAATACAGTAAAATACTATTTGGCAATGAAGAATGGATTAATATAAATTAATTAAATGTAAGTCTATTATATTTAAATTATTAATGACATCGTTCAAGATGCTCCTATTCTTACTTTTTCTGCACTTGATAAAATATTCTCAGAGAAATGTTAATATGTCTCACTATAATTATATATTTTTTCTTTTCCTTTATATTCTGATTTTTTGCTTTATCTTTGTTGTTAAGGTGTCTAATGATTTATGATGTCTATCTTTGTGAATTATACCTTTTATCTTTAAAAATATTAATCATTTCATTTAAAATAAATTTAATTTTTAAAAAAATTGGATGAGGCTTGAAAACACTGCTGAGTTAAAGAAGCTAGACAGAAAGTATCTTATAGCGCATGATGATTCCAATGACACAGAATGTCCAGAGCAGGAAAATCAACCTATAGAGATGAAAGACAGATTAAGGACAGTTAACGGTTTGGGGAGTGACTGCTAGAAAGTACAGAGTTTCTTTGAGGGGTAATGAAAATATCCAAAATCTGATTTTGGTGATTGTCCAACTGTGAACATACTGAAAATACTGAATTGTGCACTTTAAATGGGTAAATTATATGATATGGGTCAGATTGCAATAAAATTAATTTAAAAAAAAAGAGAAAGATGAGGAGACTTCCCTGGTGGTCCAGTGGCTAAGACTCCACACTCCCAATGCAGGGGGCCCGGGTTCGATCCCTGGTCAGGGAACTAGATCCCACGTGCTGCAGCTAAAGATACCATATGCCACAACTAAGACCAGCGCAGTCAAATAAACAAATAATAAAATTTAAAAATAAAATAAAAAGATGAGAATGAGAATAAAAGACCAGAGTGAAAGCTGTTCGTAGTCTAGGAGAGTGCTGGAGATGGAGTGGCCTGGGGTGGGGGCGAGGGTGGAGATGGAGAAAACAGGTTAGTCTGTTGGCAGGTCAAATGGCTGATAGCCTGGAGCTGGATGGGACAGAAGAGAGAAGAATCAAGTATTGCTTTCAGATTTCTGGTTTGAACAACTAAGTGAATGATGGTGCCGATTACCAACATGGGGGAGAAGTCTGGGGAAGGCACAGGTTTGGGAGTAAAAATCGAGAGGTTTTTCTGGCTTTGCTTTGGGGAGCCAAGAGGGGGTTGTTGTTTTTATCTGTATGTTTGCCATTTTTTTTTTTCCTTTTTTACTGTATTACATTTGAAGTGCTTGTTAGATATTATCTATGCATGCCTGCTCAGTCATGTCTGACTCTTTGCCACCCTATGAACTGTAGCCCACCAGGCTCCTCTGTCCATGGGATATTCCTGACAAGAATACTGGAATGGGTTGCTGTTTTCTCCTCCAGAAGACCTTCCCAACCTAGGGATTGAACCTGCATCTCCTGAGTCTCCTGCATTGGCAGGTGGATTTTTTTTTTTTTTTTAATCACTGAGTCACCTGGGAAACCCCAGACATTATCCGTATGGAGATGCAGGAACTAAGAAATTAGTTCAACAGGATTCTGGACTGAGGGGTAGAAATGTGTGGAGATGGCATGAGAGCCTAGAGCTCACTTAGGGAGGTGGGGATATATTATATATAGCAGATGTGGGCCATAGTCATACGCTGATACAAAGAGGGACCCACAGGGGAGATGATAATTCTGGGAACCGGTTTACTTTTTCATAGTACTTACCAGCATTCTCTTTTATTCCCTACAACCTTTATCCTAGGTGGCTTCTCTGGTAGCTCAGGTGGTAAAGAATCTGCCTGCAATGCAGGAGACCTGGGTTTCATCCCTGGGTCAGGAAGATCCCCTGGAGAAGGAAATGGCAACCCACTCCAGTATTCTTGCCTGGGAAATCCCATGGACAGAGGAGCCTGGCGGGCTACAGTCCACGGGGTCACAAAGAGTCTGACAACTGAAACGACTTAGCATGCTCACATGGCACAGCAAAAAGAGAAAAACAAACAAAACGAACACGTGTAAATAATCTGTCCACTCCTAGAAGCATCTTGATGAAAGAAACTATCTTTCTCACAGCTCTGTCCACAGAACCTAGCACAGTGCCTGATATATAACAGATGCTCAAAAAAGGTTGAATCAATGCTTCCACCCCAGCTGATGCTTACTAAATGCCAGTGAGGAGCTAGGAGCCGTCTGGGGTACAAAGATGGGAAAGACAGTACCTGCTTGCTTTCAAGGCATCTCAGATGGATTTTCGTACTTCTTTGCTCTTTTCCTCCCTTGCCCATCTTTCACAGAGGAGTGGAGGGCAGGTGGAGAATTTATCCCTAGGCCCCCATGATTACTAGGAAAGCAAGACCAGTGCACTTTGAGGCCTACCAAGAAGGCCCAGACTCAGTTATTCGTGAGGGCTGTGCTAGTCTGTTTTTTTCTTGGCCCAGTGAAATTATTAAAGCCCCTTTACACTCAGAAGGGGTTGCTGGGGAAGAATTCCACAGAAGAAGTGAATCAGCTGTGGAAAGCCTGCTTCCTGGGAGTCTTAAGGCCAAGATGCTTCAAAGAAGTTGTTTGGAGAACTCTGTTTGGGCAAGGGGATTGGCACTGTTTCCGATCACTGCCAATTTGTTTTAAATTTCACAACCCCTACTCTGGTTCTGAGAAACCAGAGACCAGAGGAAGAGACAGAAAACCGGGGAGACAGGAACCTCTAGACCAGCTGCCTTGTCAGTAGGTACAGCCAAGGAGGGAGGGGCCACCCTATCACTACTGTCTGAGCAAAACATATTTTGCCGCTCCCAGGGCCCCAGCCATGACTTGGCATAAACAGCTGGTCAGCTCTTTTTTTCTTGAGACCCACCCAAACTATTTACCTACCTGGAAGGTAGGTTCTCAT